TCCCTTGGCCAGATTTCAAAATGGAATATAGCCCCAATCCTGGTTACCCTACTTGGTTTGTCCCCCTTCCTGTTCAGCTCTGTGGGGGTTTGCTGTGCGTCCAGCAAGGGCTGGAACAGAGCGACTGCATCTCCAGCTCCCCACGAGAAAGGTGCCGGCTCTTCGCCAGATTTTACATTTCTAGCCACCTTTCCCCTCCAACAGAGCAGGGCACCTGTGGGGTGCAAAGGACCTCAGCAAAAGCAGCAGGAGGAAAAGTGGGGCGAGGTGCTTGGAGTGCTGGGCTAGACTTGGGAGAGCCACGCAGTTGGACCCACCCCAGGCTCAAACCTACCTCACAGGGATGTTGTTGTGAAGATAAAATGTGGAGGAGCAGGGGGTTGAGCTCCTTGCAGAAGAAAATATATTTCTCTTATTTATTCTTCTTGTATATTACAAAACCAAACTAAAGCAGGCATTCATGAGTGACAAAGCAGGGGAAAAAACAGAAATAAAATAAAAACATTACAGGTTTTTATTTCTGAATGAGATTTATGAGATCCTTAACATTTATTGCATATACATTGTATATCCCTTGATATTTATTTATTTATTTATTGAAAACTTTATATACTATTTAGTCAGCCACAGGCTTTCTGAATAGTGTGTTTTAGGGAGATGTTTCTGCGACCCCTGATCAAATTCCTCCAGAATTCCCAGCTTTTCCAAAAGTATTGTATATTCTGTCACATGTAAACTGAAAAGGGATAAATAAGTATATGTCGAAAGGTCAGGAATACTGTTAACCTAGCCCTGGATTTTGCACAGCCCATTGGTTGGAATACGGATGGCCAAGTTCAGTTGGCACTAAGAATTTCCTTCTGCCTTTTCAAGGCAGCTGGCATGTTGCTCCAGCACTACTTCCCCTGAATGGGGCCGCAGCTCTGCTGATCCCAGGGCCACCGTGTGGTGGCCAGACTGGCTGTTCTGACAAATTCAACACCTGCCGGTTTGTGGATGAAGATGGGCCCATTGCCAGAGGGAAAAACTTCCTCTTGGGCTTCATGGAGATGGAAGGTGTTGCCACCTAGATGAAGGCAAAGCTTTCCCTGCTTGGAGCGGAGGGTGGGGAGAACTGTGCGTGAGAGTCGGCCTAGTGCTCTGGGCAATCCAGCTTCTAGTTGTCACTTGGGTTATGAAGCTCGCTGCCAGTCCCTGACTTTTGGCCAGGCCTACCTCACAGGGTTCTTGTGGGGACAGAATGAAGAGGAGGAGGAGGAGGATGTAAGATGCTTTGGGTCCTGTGAAGGAAAAAAGCTGGGATAGAAAGATAATCGCCTATGAATAGGCATAGGCTTACTAGGACTTTGGGTCAATTGCAGAGTGCCTGGGCCCCATCTTTGATCCCTGGTCACTGCAGATAAAAAGGGACAAGTAACAAGCCAGCTCAGTGCAGAACTCAAAGCATCCCTAACAGATCACGTCACTGTTCTCCCCAACCTTATTTATTCTCACAACAACCCTGCGAGGTAGGCCAGGCTGAGATTCCATGAGTGGCCCAAAGCCACCCAGACAGTTTCATGGCCCAAGCACAAACTGACACTTGGATTTCCCCCAACCTGACACTCTAACCACATGGGTTTTGCTAAGCCTATTCCAAAATCCAACGGCAGATTTTGACTTGCAGGGACCCTTAGCTGCAGAATGCAAGCTTTTTGCTAGCTCAGGCCCTCTGTTTTGACTCAAAGACACATTGGCGGGCCCCCTTTTCATGGTTTTGACCTTGGCTGCCGTGATGGCTGGCACCACTTTCCCCTTGGGAAGAACAGATGACACAGAAACTGGTAATGGTTGCAGGGTGCGAGGGAGAGGGGGCATCTACACTGTGCCTTTTAAGCCAATTTCAGACCTGGGTGGGAGGGCACTGGATCTAGCCACAAACAATCTTTTGAGACATTACAGTTTAGGGAAGACACCATGCAGAGGGAAGTATGCATGGATTTCCACATGGAATTCAGACTCTCAGTGTTACCTGTTTAATGAATCAAGCAAGGGTTCCCAGTAACTCACTTTGGCCACAATCTCAAAGGGGGGGGGGAGTGCACTGATAAACATAACGCTGAGATGCTGACACCATTTCAAAGGAAATTGCTTGCATCAAAAACCTGTTTCGCAACCAAAGATGACTGCAGCCATTTGTTCCACCAGATCTTACACTGGACTAATTTTCTTTATGCTGGAATGGGGTCTACAAATCCCATTTTTGAAAGACACAGAAGTCCTTCTGAAGCATGTTCAGTGGCAGGCGAAACAGAGCCTTCTTGGTGGTTACTCCCAGTATCTAGAACTTCCAGGTGAAGGAGGCTAGGCTGGCTTGATCACCTTTCTTTCCTGACTCATAAGGTCAGTTTTATTCCAGGCAGGCCTTTGCCATGTCGAGTTGGTCTTTTGACTCAACCACTCTTTTGATTCCCTAATTAGTGGATGCTGTATCCATTATTCCTATTTTGAGTCTCTGGAGGAGGAAGGTTCATTTCAAAAACTGTTGTCAGTACAAGCATCTTTTCATTTTACTTATTTAAAACATTTATATGCTGTCCTTTACGACAATGTCTCAGGACAGCTTGCAATCTTGAACATTTTTCTCCCATAAATGCAGATTGTTACAGCATATATTCTATATTGGACTTCCATGAGTAATAGACTTCCTCCAAGTTTGTTTCATGTTTATTATAGTTGTACAGAGAGATCCTTTGAGCCTGAGATTGCATTTAGAGGGTGCAGCGGATGCTTCCAATTCCCAGGTCAAAGTTTGGAAAGGGGGGATTCCAGGGGGAGGGAAGGAGATTCTGGTTGCTAGGATATAATTTTAGTGGTCCATGAGCTTTCTTCCTTCCCTATCTGGAATATCACAGTTAGGGGGCTGTCAAATTAAAGGAGCAGCGAGAGAAAAAGACCACCACTGCGCCCCTCATTTTCCTTCACATAAAATACCCATAATCCCATTTGGAGGATTTTGGGCTTCCCCAAATCTGCCAAATCTGGGCCCTACCTTTGATTAGCTGTGTATTATTTAGAACTTTTAAATATATTTTAAATTCTTTTTAGAAAATATATTTAAAATTATATTTTAATTTTTTTTAAAAAATCCATGCTTTCTGTTTTTGAGCCACCTGGAGTGGTATTTTTCTGTTGTTAACTGCCCAGAGAGCTTTGGCTGTTGGGTGGCATTGAAGTTTAAAAAACAAACATTTCCTTGGTGGAAAGTTGGGAGCACACATCCACATGAACCATTTTACACATACATTTCTTGCACGTGAAAGTCCGCCACAACTGCTTCCGGTAAGCAAACATGTTGACCATGAAATGCAGGTGCAACATTCACCCTTCTACTGGGAGTACAAGATCTACATCCAATCAATATGCCAGGGGTATGAGACCTTTATCTGGACTAGCGCGACCTCCGAGAGTTGCCAGAAGTGTGTTCTCAAGCCTTGTCACATTGCCCCACGAGCAAGGAGGAGGAGAAGGGAATGAGTGCTGCCTTGGCGCCCTGTTCCATGGAAGCTTTAGAGCAGGGGCAGAAGAGTCCCTCGTCTGGAAGCTTTCCGCTGCAGCTCACGGACTATGCACAGGGCAGCCCAAAGCCACTGAAAGGCACCAGGTAGCAAAATCCAAGTGTTTCTCCTGCACCTCTGAGAGAGCCTTGGCATTCTCCTTGCAAACCACTGGCTGCTATGCATTCCCTGGCGTCAATCAAGCCTTGCCAAGTTTCTTGCCCTCAAGATCACCTTGACTTTTGGTGACATTACTGTTGTGTGCATGTGTGGGAAAGAAGGAATCTTTGCAAGTTAGGTTTTCCAGAGCTTTCATGGGATGTTCGAACTGGGGCTCAATCCTAAACCTCCACTCCATTAGAGGGGTGCAGGATCATGCACTTTATCTTTTAAAATCTGTTTGTTGTTAACTGTTCTGGCATCTGTTTAGATGTGGAGTGATATGTGAATGCTGTACACAGAATAAAAACAAAATTAAGCTCCATTTTCAAGTGCCCAAACTGCAACTCAGAATCCACTTATTTATGACAAACTGCCAACACTGTAATCAAACCTGAATTTGCTGACCACCAGCACAAGGGGGCAATGTTCCACTGGCCACCAGCTTTTGGCCGGCCCTGGAAAAGCCATCTGAGTGTATTTCCTACCTTCTGTAAAACCACAATGGGTTGTGCGGACAAACCAGCGACCTTTCGATCAACCAGCACAGCAGTTTAAACCACTGTGTCACCTGCATCCTGCTAAAATCACAGTCCATGCAAATCCCTGGCAGCTCACTGACTGGCCATGGGAAAGCTGAGCGAGTCACAGCTACCTCATTGACTGGTGCCCTTGATCTTTCTGAATATGCGCACGGTTGCTGGGGCGATCGCAAGCCAACAGAGTGGCTCTGGCCTATATCGTTGTGCCTGCAGCTAAACCTCCCCTTTTTAATTTGTACTGATGGAGACAGCATGATTTAATAGGTGTGCATGACACCAGGCACACCCTTACAAGCATGCATTCCCTTCTTGCACACCATGGACCCATGGCTGGTCGTCAGTTCTGCAGACTCCCTTTCCCAGTTGGAGCACACCTCCTCCAAGATGTTGGAATGTTCATCAGCATTCCATGGCAGCGCGACAACCATGACAGAGGAAAAACTCAGTTCAGCCAGTGAAAGCAAATGCTCCCAAGTGCTTTCTTGGGCAGTTTGAAGCACTGCCAACTGAATTTACCGTGGGTCCCCGCTTTAAGATTTTACACAATTTGGGGAGCAAATGGGCCACAACAATACCCTTTTCTCCACAAATCAAGTTTTAATGGCATAACCCAGTGGCAGAGAAAAACATGTACGTAGTGTCTGGGCCACATTATCACAAGGTGGCATCAACGGATAGTCCATGTCCGAGGACTGCAGAATGGCTGAAGACATGTAAGTGGGGTTAAGCAAACGGCTAACACAGCCTGTCAACACCATGTGGGCAAGTTTCAGAGGTTTTATTGTAGCCCTTTAATAACACATCTGTCCTCTGCTAGGGAGTGCTGGGGATCTCTTCGTTGGGATGGCAAGAGAATGCTGCAGCTGCTTTGGTCGGTTTCATTTGGTGAGGTCTTTCACGTACTTCCATCCACACTGGGTATACTCACAGGCCCTGGTAGGTGCCACTGAGAGACCTCCTATGACTGACTGAACACCTGCAAAGCCATAAAGAATAGAAGCAAGATCAAACGGAAACAGCTACAAAGCTCTCCCACTATTGTGTTGCAACAAGGAATGCCAGCCACCTGGTTGTGTCCTTTCCCAGTATATTCCGTTCCATTCACACACCTTGCTCTTCCCTCAATGGAACTGTTAAAAGGAAATGAAGGTGTGGACGCTGGGGGGCAAGAGGCACATTTCTGGATAAAGGGATTGTGAGCTCAGTTCCACAACTGAAAAGGTTTCTGGAGCATGGCCAGAAGGGCCAACCAAGATGGTGCAGGGTCTAGAAACCAAGTCCAGTGAGGAACAGTTGAAAAAAGACAGCTATGTGGAAACTGGAGAAGAGAAGACTGAGAGGTCTCATCATGAACCAATGTGTGGAACGTTAACACTCCCTGCAAATGGAATTATTTTCTTGATGCTCCTGTGGGTTTCCCCCGGGAAACCCGCAGGACAATTGCAAGGTGGGGAGGTAGCACCCACCTGTGGCTCAACAGAACTGAACAAGAAAAAGATCCTGGAGTAATTGTGGACAATAGGCTAAACATGAGCCAACAATGCAATGCAGCTGCCTAAATGGCAAATGCTATTCTGGGATGTATTAACAGAAGTATTGCTTATAAATCATGAGAAGTAGTAGTTCCTCTATATTCCTCACTAGTCAGACCTCACCTGGAATACTGTGTCCAGTTCTGGGCACCAAGATTTAAGAAAGATGCGGGTAAAATAGAGTGCAGTGGAGTGGTCCAGAGGAGGGTGACAAAAATGACCCAGGGTTGGAAACACTGCCCCGTGAGGAGAGACAGAGAGAACTGGGCGTGTTCAACCTTGAGAAGACTGGGGGGGACCTGCTATAAGGACCTCAAAGGCTGTCACAAAGAGGAGGGTCAAGATCGCTTCTTGCTGATGCCAGAGTGCAGGACACGGAAGAATCAATTCAAGTTGCAGCAACCCCGATTCAGGCTGGACGTCAGGAAAAGCTTCCTCACTGTCAGAGCAATACAGCAGTGGGACCAGCTGCCTAGAGAGGTGGGGGGCTCTCCCACACTGGAGACGTTCAGCAAGAAACTGGGCAGCCCTCTGAGTGGGGTGGCATTAATTGGTGACCTGCAACAGCAGGGGTTGGACCCGATGGCCTTCTTGGCCTCTCCCAACTCTACTATTCTATGAGTCTATGATTCGAATGTTGGGCACGCTGGGGATCGGAGGGCTGTCCAGACTGTCCATGCAGCATGGCTCCTTGTGCCATTCCAACCCCTCCTCCAACACACACCTCTCTGTCCACCAGGTTTCATTTCATTCCCCTTGATCAAGTCTCATTTTACACTTTTCTCTAAGCTAAATGATTACAGGTTCTGCACACATTCTTCCTCACAGAGGGGTTGCTGCAGCCCCTTGATCATCCAAGTTGTCCTCTTCTGCACTTTTTCCAACTCCACAAACTCCTTTTCTGTGTATGGTGACCAGAACTATAAAAAGAATTCTGAGTGTGAGTGTGCCAGAGATTTGTGTAAGAAAGCACTGGTTGTTTTGCTTCCATGTCTTTGTTCCATGCATATTCCATTTCTATTCTTGCTAGAAACCTGAGGTGGCTGGCATAACCCCCCCAAGTTTGTTCGGCTGTGTGCCTGTGTCCATGGCCAAGGACTCAGATCTCCCACGTCTTCCTCCAGCAGTCTAATTTCTATATTGCACTGTCTCATGAGTTTGTCCGTGGCAGTTGTGTTTCCTGTTCTTACTTATGCCTAGGACAGTTTACTCCTTTTCAGGTTGGAAAAGCTGGAATCAGCTGCAATATTTAAAGGCACGCTGAGGGACCCACCAGCTCACCTCCAAAAGAACGCACCCTGGGGTCCATCGGGACATAAAGCAGACCTGCTCCACAGTGGGGCAGGAAGAGGGGAATGTCTTACCTGAATTCCAGTAATTGTAGAAAGAGAACTCGGTTTTTGGAACTGCGGGAAGCTGGCAAAACAAAAGAATACACAGACACGCTTCTCAGAGGAGGCTTTGGCCAGGTAGATTGACCCCAGGAAAAGATCTGGATATCGCACATTGTGTGGGAATATTGCAGAAACTGGGGCATTCCAGGTTGAAACCGCACTTCAGACCCCATTCGTGATGGGAAGGGGCTGGGCCCAGCTTCAGTCCCTGGGAACTCCAGTTAAAAACAGTGGGCAGGAAAGACTCTGGAAAAAAGGGGCTAGTCAGAGCAGGCAGATGGCACGATCTGTCGAAAGGTGCCTGAGATTCTCTTTCTCACCCCACCCTTCCCCTCCATGCTCACCTTCCAGCCAAAGTATTTTGCCCACTCTTCCACGGCCAGAGGAAGCGTATCCCGCGCCTTCCGCAGTGCTTGAGCACCCTGCTCGCCTCCACTTAGCAGCCCTTGGTTGTACACCAAGTAGACGGCGCCGCCTGCCAAACCTCCCTTGACCAGGAACCTGAAGAGAAAACAAGAGGCCGGCTGGCTGAAAATATTGCTTCCGAATTGTGCATGGGGATGGCAGAAATATTTTGACAAGTATTTTGCCGCTCCTTCTGCAGATCCTGGAAGAGGCTTTGGAGGACGTTGAGTCCCACCCCCTGCTTGACAAAGGAAACCCAAAGGAAGAAATCTCCTAGAAGATTGTCTAGCGAGGTAAAGCCCTTTCTCCTACCTCCCTCCATTACTGGCCACCAAGGCATTTCTAATGTTCAACCACATCCACCTCCCTGTAAGGGCCCAAATCCATTGTGTAAGCACTTATTTACACAAAAATCCCCCTAAAATTCCCAGTATCCTGGCCAAGGCACACTGGGAGCAGATGCAGTCCAAAAGCATGCCGAAGCTGCACAACTTTTCTGTCTAGACACTGTGGCCTTAAGCAGAAGAATACAAATTTTTCAAACATTTTTAGAATAAAAACACATAAGCTTCTGAAAAATATAAAAAAGGGTCAAGGGTCAAGTCTGCGAACCTTGAATACTTCCAAATCTTATCCCTGTTTAAACCAGAATGAAATGGAATAAAAATTCTCAGCATGCCTCAGGCACCCATGGCGGGGCATGCAAGGTGCTTTTGCTTTAATGATGTAATGACTTTCAGTGTTTGACCATAATCGAACTTCAGGCCTACCCATGGGGCACACTGGGGCTTTCTGCTGCTTGCAGCCTAAATTCCACCTGCTAGATTTAGCCCTGTGCCTTCCCTGAGTGAGAAAACTTGGCACGAATGTTCCACGTGTGCTTTTGAAGAAGTATGACATGAAGGACAGCCAGTGTGGTGTAGTGGTTTAGAGCGTGGGACTGGGACTCAGGTGATCTAAGTTCTAGTCCCTGCTCAGCCATGGAGCCAACTGGGTGACTGGGCCAGTCACAGGCTCTCAGCTCAACCTACCTCACAGGGTTGTTGTTGTGGGGATAAGATGGAGGAGGAGAATGATGTAAGCTGCCTTGAGCCCTTTGTAGGAAAAAGGCAGGATAGAAATCGGGGGGGGGGCGGGGAGGAGAGACAGCACAAGAATGATTAGAGAATGTGGGGCAGCTCTTCTCCAGTAGATATGCACAGGGGCCTTGTGGGCATCCAAGAATATTATGGACCAGCTGCCCCAGTAGCATAGCGGCTAGCCGGTGCAATGGAAAATATACTCATGAAGCCAAAGCACACTTTGCACAAAGCATGCAGAAAGTAATTCAAGCTTGCCCACCCGCCGGCTTTTTCTGGGTCAGAGGGCCTCTCTACACATGCTCAAAGGTACTCAGCCCAAAGAGTCACACATTTGACCAAGAAACAGCAGCAAAACCACTGGGCCACTTGGGCTGCCACACCCAAAGCCTCTGTAGGACAGGCAGAAATTCCACAGAGGGAGTCCCCAGTTCCGCCAGCAGATGCGAGGGGACCCACTGAGTTTCGCAGATGAATTTTCCCATGGGAGAATGAAGACACCCAAAGGAAAGCCCACTCTGCCCAACAACTGGTACACCTGCAATCCCAATTAGTATTTGCATTTGGTGATTAATTGATTCAAGCCCGGGCTGAGAAAGTCAGCGATCACTTTACAAAATATAAATTACTCATTAAAAATAGTGGAGCTTTATTGCTTTTTCATGGTGGGTGTTGCGAGTAGTGGCTCAGCCCTTTCTACGATTTCCACGCGCTGATTCGCAACTTCCTTCCCTTACAATCCATTTTTATTGCTAAATGGTCTTTTTTCCTCCAAAGTGATTGTCCTCCCCCCACTTTTTGTTAAAGTTGAGATTGCAAAACAGGATCCAAAATCAAGGCGGGAATCCTTCTGCCCCTGGCTGGGGAGAGAATGTCCCAATCCTCTTTCCTCTGTCCCTTTGGCCCGTTTTCTTTTTAAAATTAAAAGTGGAAGAGTTGCGAAGAATAACTGAGGCGCCCGCCCGCGCGACTCACTTGACAAGAGGGAACACCCGTGGCGCCATCATGCAACGAGGTCTCCGAGCTACCGGCCCAAGGGCAGCTCGGTCCCCGCCCGCCCCACTTTCAGCGGGTCTCGCGAGGCCTTTCGGGATTTGTAGTCCGACGGTGGCCTCACTCTGTGATCAAGGCAGTCATGGTTCCAGAGGCTCAGCTCTTGACGTGCGGCCCAGTTTGGGCCAGGAAAGCGCTTAAGGAAATAGACTTAGATCCCTCCTCATAAGCTATTTTCCCACAAGTGTGGCGTGAGGGTTTAAATTATAATTTTTGTCCCAAAGTGTCATGGCAGCCGGTGGGAGCGGCCGAACAGCTCTGCGCAGGCGCAGATGCCCTATTATCGGCTCCTCAACATCAAAAGCGCATGCGCGCGTGTCTTCTCTTTACAGGCATGAGGTGAGGGGCGCGTGCGTGTTACATCTCTGAATTGGAGTTACTGGTGGGAGTTACGTTGTCGAGTTTGGTGTTCGCATATTTTTAAAAATGAAGCTACATATCTTTGCACAGATAGTGTATTTTTCCTCTATGCTTTTAAATTTTTTTTCTGCGGTCTCTTGCTCTTGATTATTAGTGCACGGGGTGTAAAAGTGTTCTTTTCGTTGCCGAAGTTTGCGATTTCCCCCCCCCCTTTCTTTGATTGGTTCTACTAATTTATCTTGTGCAGTCTCTAATTTAGTAGTCTGTTGTTCTTGATTACATTTTGTGTTCTCGGGCACTTAACTGCGGTAGGTTTACTTTTAATTTCTCCCCACCAAAACAGCCCTCCCCCTGGAAGAAGGAGCTGTTTAAATATTTTGCTTACTGGCAGAAACCTCCACTTGTCTAAACAGAAGGAAAGCCCTGCGTGTGCACAGAACAAACGCAAAAACAGATTCATTTGATTGTTTCTTGCAAGCATGCCTTGTGGCAGTAGTGCCAACCAGAACAATAAATAGGGATTGTTTCTTGCAAGCATGCCTTGTGGCATTAGTGCCAACCAGAACGATAAATAGGTTGAGATTTGAAATGTTAAGGGAACAATGTTATGTCTACTTTGTGCAAATGGTCCTGCAACAGCCAGCATCCCCAGCCATGCAGGCTCTTCAGTGGTATACAGAAATAATCACTAATAAAATTAATAATAATAGAACTCAGCAAGGGCAGAAAAAGCATCCATAAATCTGTCTATTTGCAGATTGTCTGGAGCTGGTTTTGCTGTCTACACATGCCTATTACTTAAAAGGGATGAAACCAGAATGGCCAATCTCTGCCCCCATGAGGTATGTTCCTCTCTTCCAGTATTCCCCCACTGGAGGTTGTCCAGATATTTCAGGTGACATCGCCCAGGCCTTGGCCCTTTTAGCCTGGGCAGCCGGAAGTCCAAAGATTCTGGAGGGTGCCAGGTTGGGGAAAGCTATTCTGGCCAATTTATTTTTTTATTTATTTATCTTTTCGATTTATATCCTGCCTTTTTCCTACAGGGCTCAAGGCAGCTTACATCTCCTCCTCCATCTTATCCCCACAACAACAACCCTGTGAGGTAGGTTGGGCTGAGAGTCTGTGACTGGCCCAAAGTCACCCAGTTGGCTCCATGGCTGAGTGAGGACTAGAACCCAGATCGCCTGAGTCCCAGTCCCATGCTCTAACCACTACACCACACTGGCTCTCCTTGCTTGTGCCTCCTTGCTTCCCCCGCTCGCAACTGTATGGTGGGTCCTCCTTGCTTTCCACCTCAAGGTGCCTTCTGTTGTAAGTGGGCAATGGGTGCTGATTGCCCTCCTCAAGGAAGGCAGGCCGAAGACTTGTGATTGCACTCATCTGAGTGGGCATCTCTCCCTGGCTGGGCTTTTCCTGGCAGTGCTGGGCTTCCCGTTATTCTGATTCCTTCTTCCTCACTGATCCCACATGCCCTTAGGATCTGGCTCCCCGTTTTCCTCACTCCTGCTTCCTGCTGCCCAGCCCTGAAAAACTGTGGATGGAGGGGAGGGGCCTTCCCAGACTGGACTCTACCAGTCAAGTGGGTGGGACTAAGCAGGGGCTCGATTTCCCCCTCTTCTTAATCCCCGCCCCCAGCCATTCAAGGCTCTGTCTTAAGGGTTGCATGCCCAGCAACCACCTGGTTCTACCACTTCAGGAGCAGTGCAACTGGAGCGGAGTACCTTGAAGTAATAATAGGTTTAAACACTGCAGCATAGTGGGAAGGCTGATTTGTTTCTGCCTCTATTTGGAGAGCAGCTCCATCAACTGTAAACTCTCTGCATTTGGTAGCCAAATACCAGAAGGATTAACATCCTTTGAAGAAAGAAACACTGAGCTCAGTTCTCAAGCCTGAAATCTGGAATCTGCACCTCCTGAGCACTGCGTGGGTGGGAATGGCAGCCAGTGGGGAAGGTCTTTGCAGAGCCAGCCGGCCCACCTGGCCTGACAGGTCATTGCCTCCACAAACACAGTTCTGGGGGGGCAGAGCCAGCTCAGAATGGATTCTGGACACTAAAATCTGCACTCCTCTGACCATCGACAAAAACATGATTAAAATATCTTCAAGATAAACACTGGAAAAATACATAAAACATAAGTCAATTCCTTTGTTTGTCTCCTGGGAAGATTTGAAACACAGACATGGACTAAGAGTTGTTTTTGTGATCTGAAACTGCTGGGCCTGGTCCAGAGTAAGCCGTATTTTGACCGTCTACAGACTGAGAAACAGCATTATAAATACTCCTGCCGCTTATTAAAATAAATGTAAAAACAGCTAGGGAAGCGGAGATAAAGAAGTTACTTTCTTGAAGGATTTTTTTTTTAAATAAGAAGTGCCCCTTCTCTCTCCCCCCGGCTTCTGGAAGGCCACAAGAGTGCCGATACTGAAAACACTTGGACAGATCTGTAAGGAATGCATAGAAACGTAGAAACAGAGCGAGTCAGAAGGGGGTCTCCTGGGCCATCTAGTCTGACCTCTGGCACCAGCTGGCTTCACTCACGACATGCCCACCATGTGGATGTCCAGCTTATCCTTGAACACCCGCACCGATGGGGCCTCAATGACCTCTCGTGGAAGCCCATTCCACACCCTCGGGGTCCTGACTGTCAGGAAGTGCTTCCTGGCATCCAAATTGAACCTTGGCTCCCTGAGCTTTACTCTGTTGGAGCCCGTCCTGCCTTCCTCTGCAGGGGAGAACAGGTCTCTCCCCACCTCCATGTGACATCCCCTCGCATACCTGTATGTCGCCAACAGACATACAGACATACATATGTTCCAGGCTGAAGAGACCCAGTTCCCTCAGTCTCGCCTCATACGGCATCCCCCACAAACCGGCCACCAACCTTGTGGCCCTATGCTGCAACCTGGCTATATCCTTTCTGTAATGAGGGGCCCAAAACTGAGCACAATACTCCAGTTGCGGGTGCACCAGAGTCGTGTAGAGTGGTAGTAATATCTCTCTTGATCTAGAAGCCACACTTCTGGCTATGCAACCAAGGGTGGTGTTCGCCCTCTTGACCACCGCATCACACTGCTGACTCAGGTTTAGCTTGCAGTCAACCAGTACCCCAAGGTCCCTTTCACAAGTGCTGCTCTCCAGCCATTTGTCACCTAAACTGTACTTATGACCCCTATTCCTATGCCCCAAGTGCAAGACCTTGCACTTATCCACACTGAACACCATCCTGTTGTCTCCTGCCCACTTCCATAGTCTGTCCAGATCCTTTTGGATCTGGACTACCTGCTCCTCAGTTGCGGCCACTGCTCCAGTTTTAGTGTCGTCTGCGAATTTGATCAGCAGACTGTTCACCCCTTCTTCCATGCTGTTAATGAAAAGATTAACCAGGATTGTCCCCAGGACAGAGCCCTGGGGGACCCTGCTTGCTACTGGCCACCATCCCGATGATTCCCCGCTAATGGTACCTTCTGCTTTCAGTCAGTCAACCATGCCCTAATCCACCGGACAGTGCTTTGGTGTATCCCAAAACTCCTCAGTTTCTCCACCAGGATATCATGGGGCACTTTGTCAAAGGCCTTGCTAAAATCCAGGTATACCACATCCACTGCATCCCCTCCATCCAGCCACCTCAAAACCTTGTCATAGAATCCTACAAGGTTTGTCTGGCAGGACCTGTTTTTGCAGAAGCTGTGTTGTGTGGCTGTCAGCCTCCCTTCCCTATCTAGCATCACTAGATCTCTCTCTATTATGAGCCTTTCCATTGTTTTTCCTACAATGGACGTAAGGCTAACGGGTCTATAATTCCCCATGTCCTTCCTACTACCCTTTTTGAAAATTGGGACCACTGATGCCACCCTCCAGTCCTCTGGAACTTCACCTGTTCTCCACGAGGCCTCAAAAATGGAGGCCAGCGGGCGTGAGAGAACCCCTGCCAACTCTCTAAGTACTCTCGGGTGTAACCCGTCAGGGCCTGGTGCCCTTGTAATATCCAATGCCCTGAGGAGCCCCTTGACTTCAAGGGGGGTGACTCTAATTTGTGCCCTTAAGTCCCCAGCCTCATCTAATCTCCTATGCAGATATCCCCCGTCCTGCTTTGGGGAGAACACAGAGGCAAAATAGTCATTTAGCATCTGTGCCTGTTCCCTCATATCAGTCACTGGATCTCCTTCCTCCTTATTTAGTGGTCCCACCACTTGTCCCCCCTTCCTCTTCCTATGTACATGCTGAAAGAAGCCCTTTTTGTTGCTCTTGATATTCTTGGCAAGTCTCAGCTCGTAATCAGCCTTAGCCTTTCGAAGAATCCTTCTGCAACGCGCCTCCTCCTTCCCGTATACCGTTTTGTCTATTTCCCCCAGTAGCCATTTCCTACGGAGGTTCCTCTTGCTTCTATTCCCTCTAACCACCTCCTTTTGCATCCATGGCGGCCTCTCCTCCACCTCCCCACCTTACTGACTAGAGGTATCGTCAAGGCTTGCGCCTCCAAAACCTCCCTTTTGAGTGCTATCCACCCCTCCTCAACTCGCTTACCTTCCAGTAACCTATCCCAGGAGAGTTTCCCCAGACTGGCCTTCAGTTGGCCAAAGTCGGCCCTCTTGAAGTCCCAGCTTCTGGTGCTCTACCTGCTGCACATCCCCAGTCCCCTGATCTCAAAGCAAAGGATGGAGTGATCACTCGTATCCAGAGCTCCCCTAATCTGTACTTCATCTATCAGCTCTTCCCTATTTGTCAAGACCAAGTCAAGGATGTTTCCCCCCTCATCGCCTTTCGGACCCTCTGTGTGAAAAACCCTCCCTCTATAGCTTCTAGGAAGCGATGTGACCTGGCTGTCACCGCCGAGTGAGTCTCCCAAGTAATATCCGGGAGATTGAAATCTCCCATAATTACTGTGTCTTTCCCCTGAGATATCCTTAGAATCTGGTCTGTTGGGACATCATCCAGGGTCTCAAGTTGACCTGGAGGGTGATAACATACCCCCACTGTCAGGTCTCTTTCCTTGTCAAAACCCCTAAGTTTCACCCAGACTGCCTCTACCAAATCCCCATCTGTGCTGCATTCTATCTCACTGCATCCTATCCCTTCCCTGATGTACAAAGCTACGCCCCCACCTCTCTTTCCCTTCCTGTCCTTTCTAAAAAGGTGATACCCTTCTATGTTCACATTCCAGACTTAACTTTCATCCCACCAAGTTTCTGTGATTCCCACCAGATCATACCCTCCTATTCCCAGGAGAGCTTCAAGCTCTTCCTGCTTATTACCCATGCTCCTAGCATTGGTGTACATGCACCTCAACTCCTTCCCACCGCTTCCTTTCCTTGGAGTCCCCAGCCTCCTCCTTCCTCCCATCCTCCCTGATACCTGGCCCTTCTCTGTAGGAGTCCTGTCAATTCCTGCAGTATCTCTAAAACCCTGTTCCCAGAGCCCTGATCCTCTCCCCACCCTTGCCCAGTGCAGACACATTCCGGGGGGCCCTAACCCCCCCCCCCCCCGGCTCAGTTTAAAGTCTTCTGGATGAAGCTCGCTAGATGAGGACCTTGTGAGGTGTAACCCGTCCCTTGCCAGAAGTCCATTGGCAAGAAAACGAGTGCCGTGGTTGAGGAACCCGAAGCGTTCCTTCTGGCACCACACCCTAAGCCAGTCGTTCACCTCAGAGGCCCTCCTGTCCCTTCCTGGTCCAAATCCCCGGACAGGTAAGATTGACAAGAAGGCCACTTGGGCCTTCAGCTCCCTGAGTTTCTTCCCCAAGGCCTCAAAGTCCCTGGTGGTCCCAACCACACCCTGCCTGGCCCCATTGTTTGTGCCCACATGGATCACCAGGAGCAGCTGGTGACCCCCGGAGCAAACAAGATTCTCCACTCTGTCCTTCACGTGCCAGATCCGTGGGCCCGGCAGGCAGCAAACCTCTCTTGTCTCCAGGTTTGGGTGGCACACTGCCACCTAGTGCCCCTCAGGAGGGAGTCCCTGATGACAATGACTCGCCACCATGTCTCCCCGGTGGTGGTGGGCGGCCATGCCCTGGCCCTCGCCTCTCCTGCAGCGGCCCCCTTGCCATCTGACGTCCCAGGCTGGGGGTCCTGCTGGTCCCCCGAGGCCTCATCAGCCCCAG